TGCTACATCGCAGTCAGTAATTGAGAGAGCCTTGAATGGTGGTAAAATGAAAATCACAACTGATTTCAACCAATGAATCTGACAAAAAGAAGAAGTCGGAGAATGTGATCCAAAGTAAAGATTCTGGGGAAAAAAAACAGAAAACTGTTGTGGATGAAGTAAAGAGAAAAGAAAAAGTGGAAGCTCAAGAAAAGAAAAAGGCAGAGCAGGAACTAAAAAGAAAAGAGAAAGAGGAAACCCTGAAGAAAAAACAAGAAAAAGAAGAGAGAAGGACAATTAATTTAAAAAGTTGTGATGATGCTTTGCAGCAGATGAAACAACAAGGCCTCTTCAGGTAAAGAGACTGTCTTCAATTGTTGTAGAAGCTCAAAAAACATATTTTCCAATTAAGTCTGAACTGCCTCTCTAAACATAATTGTAATACAATCACCAGCTTCCAAAGCACACTTCACGTTTTACAAAAATTATTGCACTGAATCATTGTCTGTACTTGTCTGGCAGCTTTGCTATGTGTGTGTACTTTTCTTTCATATGACTTTAATATTATTCACAAGAGCATATTTTTTTCTGCAGAAGGCTTCAACTTTGACACAAAAGTGTAAAGATATTTTGTACATTATTTGCAGTTATGCAGAGTCATCTGTGGATGTTTTTGATGAGAACCCATTAATTACTTCTATGGATGATAATGATACTGATGTTGATGATGATGAACCACCACAGTATGCCACTTTACAAAACTTTTGTAGTGATGACTTGGTGGAAGAATCATTAAGCCTTTTAACTCCACCAAGAGAAAAACCAGCACACAAATCTCAACATCAAGATGATAGACCAACTCAAGGTGGTAAGGTGCCCCGTGCACATTTTTTAAAACAAGGTACTACTGGTAATGAAACTAATTACTCTGAACTGAGCAGGAAGTACTCAACACTTCTTCAGAGATGTGAATCAATGAAATTGGATAATGACATTCTGAAGAAAGAAAATGCAAACCTTAAAGTTCAGCTTGCAGCTGTTCGAAATGAACGTAAGTTACATTGTTATTTTCATTGTTTACTTCCCTTACAGCAAGTCTCAGAAGTATTGGGGCAGCCAATTTGCAAACTCGCTAGCGAATTGGCTAACTGCTTGGGTTTTGACTAAACATGGCTGCGTCCACTCTGAGCGAGTCTAAGTTGCATTAGGGAACATAGATGCTTTTACATAGCCTGGTAGGAGCATGTCTAGATTCCCCTGAATGATTTACTTTGTTACGAGGCGTGATAATGTAAAAGTAGTAAGCCTGAAAATGGCCTGGTAAGCCTGAAAATGGCCATAGTCAGCTGGCGTAAAGCGATAATATGATAAATGCGATTAATCCGCCGATATTTACTATATGGGGTAGCCATCTTGAACACTGCTTGAAACTAAATAAAGAGACAAGTTGATAAACAATTTCCTACAAATCAGGAAGAAAATGACAAACTTTCACAACTAAATGACCCCGTCAGGGTAACATTAGCCAACTGCTAAAAAAATCGTCATCCCCTGCTGTTATTTAGATTCGCCCAGAGTGGGCGTGACCACAAGACGGCGCCAGTAAGATTCGAAACCCAACTGTTTAGTCAAAACCCAAGCAGTTAGCCAATTCGCTAGCGAGTTTGCAAATTGGCTGCCCCAATACTTCTGAGACTTGCTGTAAGGTTGCTCAATACAGTTTCACAAAAGTATTTGGATTTTTTTTTTATATTTATGAATTATTGCTACATGGTCATATGTGAAAAAAATAGGGTGTACATACCTAATTTTTTAGATAAACATACTATTACTTTAGATGGATTATGGAGTTAATACATGGGGAAATTATAATTACGTGATGAAACGATGCATCTGGAACTACATTTGTAAAGATACGTGGGTTTCAGTGATTTGCCCTATGCCAACACATATGGGTGACCCACCCATGTTCAAGACTGCATTGAACAACCTTAAAGACACTCGTGTTGAGGGCGCATTTGTGCATTTTCATTTTTTAAATTGAATTCCTGTAAACTGCTCAAATTTCAAAACTATGAATTTTCGTTATTTGATAATATTACTGCAGACGCAATTTTTGGAAAGTCACTGACACAAAACTTCATGATTTTCCTATACACTACATGACAGTATAATGATCACAGGGCTTGAACTTCAGAGGCTACAAAGCAATTGGCACAATGCCCAATGAGTTTGCCTTTGCGCCTAGTGAAAAATAAACATTTTCTCAATATTCTTCCTTTATGTATTTATGTATACAATAGTTTTAATTTATAGATTGTGGTTCCTACATGTGATACATAAGCTATTTACTATGCAAGGGTTGTGGGCACCCGTTTTCATGACAAAAATTGTTTTGGACTGAATTGTAGAACTTTACGATATTTCATAGGGCACAATTGACTTTTTATAGCCATAAAAAACAACAACACAGAAGTGAATTGATAAAGTACTGTTAGCGCCCATGCCTGGTCTAGGGCCCACATCCCATTTTTGCATAATTTTTATATTCGGGGTCGCATTCAGCAAAGCACCTATTCTTTCAAAATGCCACTAATTTAATTTAAAACTTGGTCTTTGATAATTAATGATAAAGATTTTGGCTCTAACATTTTTAATCTAGATAATTTGGGTGGTATATAATTAATATTGTTATAAAAATGTGCATATTTTTTGTGACCATTTCTGTTATTTTATTGTAAAAGTCAATGAAGACGCAACTAATTTTGTATTTTTATTTTCTCTGAAAGACGTGATATCCCCCTCAATCTGTCACATGAATTAAAATTTGTTCTCTTTTCCGAGGGGGTGCTCGGGTATGTGCTCATCCTTAAAAAATCATTATTTTCCGACTTGAGTACGGTACCACTGAAGGCAGGTATACGACTCAATTTTATAGAAGTTCCAGTGATTGAAGTTGCTTTTTGCATTTTGTGCTGAAAATATTTTTTATTTATTTAGAACTGGATGAAGAAGTTATTGAAATGGCATCAACCCCAACTGGTGGGAAAATAAGTAAAGAGGTTTGTCGTTTGTTCAAGGTATGTTCCCCTTTTTAGCTCCGCTGTCGAAAAAGTCATTTCATGTCAAAATCTCAAATTTTCTATTTTTGGTGAATATTTTTGTCATTTTTGGTAAAAAGTGATATTTTCGACTTTTTGTTAAAAATCGCAAGTCCAATTGCTTTGATATTACATGTATAGATACTACATGTAGACCTTTTCTCAGATTTGTTCATTTCGTGATGATATCTTTAATTTTGATGAATATTTTTGGTAAAAAGTGATGTTTTTGACTTCTTGTTGAAAACCGCAAGTCCAATTGCTTTTATATTACATATATAGGTACTACATGTAGACCTCTTTCAGATTTGTTAATTTCGTGGTGATATTTTGATGATTATTTTTGTCATTTTTGGTGAAAAGTGATATTTTTGAATTCTTGTTGAAAACAGCAAGTCCCATTGCTTTGATACTATACATATTGTTCATTTTTTAATGATGTCTTCTGTTCTTTAATTGAAATATGCATTGCTAACAGTGGAGCTATCTCAGCCGACAGGCAATTTTGCAATATTCAGTTGTCTAGGAGTGATCAGAGTGACAAGTCAAAAAACGAAAGGATTTCCATGTTAATTAATAAACCCACTTAGCAGCAAAAACTGTGTCGGATTTCTGTTTTGGGCTTATCACAAAGATAGCTGAATTATAAAGTGGAGTGTATATATTACAAACTTGATAACACCCCTAGTTTTATTTTATGTTAAGTGTTAAATAACAGCTACATAATGTGCAATAACAAACAGCAAATTGTGTAGCCATTAAAGATTGAAATGAATATGATACACAGGTCCCCCATCAGTCAACAATTTAGTTGCTGTTTAGTGTAACAACTCTAAAGATTGTTGTGCAGAGGTAATTTTAATGTTTTTGTTATTGTATTATTTGCATAGATGGTAGAATTGACACCTGGTGATGGTGTTTATATAACACAGAAAAACTTGATGAAGGCAAAACACAAGCTTGCTTCATCGCCAAACTGCTAGCGCACTGTTCCTAGCACGAACAATGTTCACAGATAAGGAGCTTATGAACATGAATATACGTGGAGTTAATGGGGAAAAAACCAAATGGATCCAGACATAAGGTCGTCCATTTATTGGTAAAGTATATTGTAATTATTGATACTAATGCATTGAAAAATAAAAATTTGTTTTTTTTGTGAAAGTGAGTTTACAGCTTATTTGCACAAGTCAAAATAAGCAATAGAACATTTCATCCTGTTGATTGAGCTTCCATCTATGAAATATAACAAAAAAATGGCTTTCCACATAACCAGTGCAGATTGTATACTTGTGAGGTTGACTGATTTTGTGTCTCAATGAAACTGCACAATGAAGGCATCATACATCAAGGTTTCGCATTAACAAACCTTTGTTCTGAGTCATATACTTAAAACAATGAATTGTTTTTAATGCATCAGTTTAAATAGGGGACACAAGTCACATGTACAAACTACACATTTTATTAAGAACATGCATCTCATTGAACTTTTACTCTATTTACTGTTTATTCCTCAACAGCTTTCTGTATGAGTGGACCAAAATCGACACCAGAAGCATCCATAAACCGTGCATTGGGCACTATGATATCAGGTTTACGGTATCAAGACACCAAAAAATGAATATTTGATATCAGTTTAGTACCAGTAATAAACTTTTTGGTCTGTTTATTCTATATTAAGTAGTAATAATTATGCATGCTTGTTAAACTTTTGAGAGTATATTACTTGCAAATTGTTTATATACATTATTTCTGAGCGTTTATACTTAATTTTGCCATGTACATTACTCCGGATTCCCAATGTGCAAGGTTGTAAAAAAAAAACATTTTTAATATTTATTTTTGTAAGAATTTTACACATTTACACATGTATCATTTGTAATAAAACGGATTGTTATTGGTATTTTTTTGGTATCAGTTCATTATTTCCCAAGTACATTTACACACACAATCTGGTGAATGAAGATGAACCAGTTCAAAATGCATTTATACTAATTGTTCCTGAGACATAAATATCAAGTAAAATGCATTTTAATAATTTTATAAATAAATGCGTTTAAAATACATTTTAAACGCATTTATTTATAAATGCGTTTATTTCCATTCTGATATGGCTCGATATAATAAATGCATTTAAAACGCATTTAAAATGCATTTATTTCCAAACGTGTTTAAAACGCATTTTGAATGCATTTAAAATGCATCCACCTCATCATCTCAAGTGTCGAAAACTTGGCAGTTTAAAAGGCGTTTTTTTCTTGTGTAAAAGGCGTTTCTAATACATTTTAAACACATTTATAACATATTTACAGTGCATTGAAAAGAGTGAAAAAAAACACATTTTAAATACATTTCAAATGTATTCTTATTTGGTAAGGGATATCTCCTGGTTGTGGATTATTACTCAAGATTTGTAGAAGTTGCTAAATTAGAGGACACATCAAAAAGTAGTGACATAATAGTTCATTTACAATCTATGTTTGCCCGACACGGGATAACCCGATGAATTGAGATCAGATAATGGACCCCAGTTCTCAAGTTGGGAATATAAAACCTTTGCTGAGAAATATGGGTTCATGATTGTGACCAGTAGTCCAATATATAGCCAGTCAAATGGAGAGATTGAACGGGCTGTCAGGACTGTTAAGCAGCTTATAAAAAAATCAGCGGATCCATACTTGGCATTAATGGCATACCGGGCAACCCCATTAGCCAATGGATATAGTCCAGCTGAGTTGCTATTGCTCGTCGTA